TTGAATCAAAACTGAGGCTTTATGCAAGTTTCCCGTATTGAAAAACTAGGAAAAACAACTTTCGTCAGTGCAGACAGGGTCCGGTCGACCGGTTAGTGAAGACAGGTCGACCGGTGAGTTATAACGTCTCTGTCACCGGTCGACCGGTTGTAACGTAAAATGCATGCTGACGTGGGAAAATCGACTCTGGATGCGATTAGAACTTTGGGAAACCTAATTGTTACGGAAGTATGACTTCCAAAACACTATAAACAGCCTATTAAGTCACATTACTCATTAGATCACTTGAGAGACTTTTTGGAGGCTATTGATAAAAGATTCCTGAGAGGGAAAATTGTTTAATTCTCAAGAACAATTTTTTCTTTGGCTCTCTTGTGATTGGAAGGAGATCAAGAATACCTAGAGGAGACTAAACGACGTGTACCCACCCGCACACCGATCGTGGAAATGAGAATAGCAAAGAAGACCAGTTGGTTGAGGCTCTTCCGGTTGCTGTTTGGAACACTTAGATCTGTCAGACGTGCAGTTTCCTGAAATCTCAAAAGGTATGTTTTAGATCTTTAGTATTTATGTTATATAGCATCATGAACATGTTCTTGTTTGGCTTTGACGTTGATTAAAATTTTTAAATTCCGCTGCGCACTCGATGCCATTAATTTTCCAACACAATCCACTAAGAACTCTTTTACAATTCAATTGGACTTAATCTACCCGAGACTCCCTCTCTAAGAAGACGCCTATGAACTTGCAATTTTTTGATGGACTTGAACATCGAGATCTTCTCGACTTTTTAACATTGGAATCCCTCCAACTAAGTTTTTCTCCCGAAAAATACTCAAACATCTCTCTGAATATAAGTGCTCATCCCTATCTCACAACCCAAAAAAAACTGATCATCCTGGTCACTAAAGACTCTAGGGACACTTTGAATAAATAAGCAAAGTGTGAATAGCTTGACACCTCTTCAATTAATTCGTTGAACCAAATCTGTTGCAGATTTTTGTTGCAACAATAACTGCAACATAGCTTTCCAAAACTGATATTTGAATCTGGACACATTCCTAGGAGAGAGAGAAAGATCATCCAGCTGCGGAAACTCAATCAAATATCAATCAAATCACCAATTATCAATTTACCATCTTTGGATCAATAGTTGACTTTCAAAAACAGAAACTATATTCAGTTTCCAGATATGCAATAACTTTCCATTTCTCACAAATCTTCTAGGATACTTCCTTCCTTCTATTAATCCCCAATCTTCTAGGATACTTCCTTTCAAAAGCTGATTTCTATGAAGAAAAGTACATTTCATATTTGAAGCAATCAAGCAACCAAAAACACATCCGATCTTCTCCATAAACGTAAGTTGCCAAAAATACTTGTTTTTAAATTTTTACCACCAATGCCAACAAATTGCCAACTAAAGTCCTAACAAGTAAATTAACTTTCTTTACTTAATTTGGTGTTTGACATGATTTCTACATTATACAATTGGTGAATCAATCTTCGTGGGAATGATATCTGTACTCGGTACACTTTATTACTTGTTTGCGACATATATACTTGCGTAGCATTGTAGGCAACAATGCCTACAATGAAGATTTTCAGTTGGGATTTCTGAACTCTGGGGTTGTCCTGTTGGATCAATGCTTGCTATTGAAGAGGAAAAGAAGAAACAAAACTGGTCAGCCACACTCTAAAGCTTTCCACGTAACTTACAATGCCAAATCATATATATATATATATATATATATATATATATATATTTGGACAACTAATAAGACGTTCATGATGATAATGTATGTGAAAATTTTTGTAACAATATATATAGGCAACGTCAAAGTCAGTATAGCAACAACAAGAAGGAAATTAATCCTCATGATTATGTGGCGTGAATTATGAACAATATCATCCATGCAAGGTGAAAACTTATAGATATTCCAGCTATATATGAGCATGATGATCACTCTACGTCACTGCCTTTTTTTTTTTTTGATTGATCACCAAAGTGTGACTTTCACTGTCTCTTCTTATACCATATATAGGCATGACATTATTATATATTGGGTACGCCACTTTTTTTTTATCATATAAATATGATTTTTTTTTTTTTTTTTGGGTCCAGAATGTAGTTCAAATGATCATTCTGTACAACAGATGAAATCACCGAGGGCAGACACGAGTCTACCGGGATAAAGCTAAAAAGACGTGAGAGAGTTAAAGAAAGTTGGAAAACTACAAATATAACCGAACTGACTGTTTTTTTTTTTTTTTTTTTTTTTTTTTTTTTTTTTTTTTTTTTTTCCGGGAACTGACTATTAAATTATTGCTTTACATATTGGATCTAACCCCTTTACCATGAGTGTGGTGCTATCGAACATGTGAACTTTGCCTCCTTTTCAATTCTGTTGTAGGACTTCTTCATCACTTTTTTAAAATTAGACCATTTTTTCTTGTTGATCTAATATAGAAGAGAAGTTAAATCAAAATCAAAGTACATCCATTTTTCCCTCAATTGTAGAATTAATTTATTAAGAAGGGGACTAACATTCATAGAAACAAATGTTATAATGAACCATTCAAAAAAATAATAATATAATACAATGAAAATTTTAGGGTGACTAGTAATTAAAAAAAGATGAATGACAAATAAAAAATAATAATAATTAATGAATTACAATAATTTTAAAAAGGAAATATAACAATATTAACAGTTGAAAGCGATTTATTATTTTGTAAATTAAATCAAGCTTAAAGCTTAATGTTGAGTGGGCGTATGAAAAGAGAAGGTTAAATTAAGTATTATAAAAATAATAATCTAAAAAAGGATAGATTCTTCAACTCTTTATCAGAAGAATATTAATCGTTGAGGGTATCTATAAATTTTAGGGGTATCACTCATAATTTTGTTTTTAGCCGTAAAGGTATATAATTTGGGGTATTCTCAACATAGA